ATGAATTCTCTATATTTGTATTTTATGTGAATTAGTTCCATTTTTTTAATTATTGCAATTTGTTTTAGAATATATTTTCCATAGAATTCTCTTGCAAAACTCAAGGTGATATTAATAATAAATAAATAATAAATACAAACTAATAATTGTCTTCATGAAGGAAATTAGTGCAGCTTTTTCAAAATAATAATAAACTGCAATTCAGTGCAGGTACTTGGATGCAATTTCCATTTCATTGATATTCCAGAAAAAGCATAAGCAGTATAATTATTTTAAAAATCAGCTGAAGCATGTTATTCAAATTCATCAATATCAGTTCTTTTAAGTACTCAAAAATATGTTGTAGTACTGATAAATCTGTACTGCTATTTTTTATCATTATTAGTAATTGTAGTCACAATTTAAATAGATGTTAAAACTACCCTTCAAGCAGAAGGAAACAAAAGGAAAAAAACTTGCATTTTCAGTTTTGCGCTAACAAGAATTTCCATTTATTCTGCCCATATTGGCAAAACAAATAGAAACAAACGCTCTTATGTTTACAATTAAAGTTAATTCAAAACAAAAATGGTTTGCAGCTTGAAGCGCCTCAGTTTTAGGATTGAGCATCATGAAATGCTAAAAGAAAATATTTTGAAATAAATTGAAGGAAATGAAAACAGCAAAGGAGTAGAGGAAAAGATGGAGAGACAAATTATTTCCATTATTCTTAAGATTTTACTCAAACAGCTAAAAGCTGGAGAAATTTAATTTAAAATCAATGAAATTAATTCTCAGATATGTGTGTTCAAACCTGAGAGACCAAGAAAGAAACATAAATACAGGTGCTTCCATTTAAGTAGCTTATGAACTGTAACCAAGGAATCGATATTAGAGGTCACTTTTTAAAAATGTACATTGTAAATTGACATTAATCATTTCTTTCTTAATCCAGTCCTCATTCAACACATTTTCTCACTATTAAGATATACTAAGTAGTGTTCTACTTTCATGCAAAAAAGGCTGCCTAAACAGTGACCACAGCTACACAAAAGTAGGAGGCAAAACTAAAAAAAAAAAATCTCTTTGGTCTGTAATAATAAAGTGAATAATGTACATAACTTGCATAAATACATGACATGACATTCTGTTATTTGCCAAATCAAAGCAAACAAACGAAAAACAGAAACATGCTGGCATGATTTTCCTCTGTGCAACTTTGTGCTCTTTCTTTTTTCCTCCGTGTATGTCTGTGTGTGTGTGTGTGTGTGTGTGTGTGTGTGTGTGTGTGTGTGTGTATTGAGCCTCTGTGAAGAAGCAGTTCTCCTTAAATCTCTAATAGGCTTGAGGGTGTTTGTCCTCCCTCCTCCCCTTCTTTGCTTTTGGCTTCTACAATGCAAAGGGGTACTATAGTCCTGAAGAATGGCTTCAGTTGTCTATCCTGAATGGCTGTCGGCATCTCTAGCCATCTAGAAAGGCTAGAAACATTTTGTAGGTGAAAATAGCCACTTTTTCCACGGTGGAGAGTCCATAAAACTCCTCAGAGCATCAGCCATTGGGACTCATTGAATAATTCATCCCTCATTGCAAGCCCATAATGTCTTTTCTGGGCCCTATTGTGAAGACTGTTTTCTCTTCTTTTCTCCTTGAATTATAAAAAGGGTGCCTTCTTTTGTCCATATCAAGCTGCTGCTAGCTGAACCTTTGTCTGGCTAGAGCTAAAGTGTGAGTTTCAATGGACTCTCCCCTCTTTGTTTTCCAAGTTCATCTCCAAGTGTAGATTGTGTATAGAAGGCTTTCTTTGTAAAAGCTGGAAAAGTTGTACAAATGTTTGACCAGCTCATTTGGTACTTTTGTCTCCTGTTCTCCAGGGCCTATGGTAGATGGGAAGGGCAAACTTTAGAGGAGGACTGTCAAGAGAACCTCAGACAACAAGTCGCACAGAACATTGGCTGCAGCAGGTCTGCCAACCCAGGCAACAAGTTCTTATAAATCTACTATCTATAATACCAACAAATCTGGACAGAAGTAGATGGCATATCCTCCTCTTCATTTAGCCAGTGAATACAACAGGGACACTTAAATACAAACTCATGCACAAATATGTAGAAATTAAATCTATCTTATTTGATTCAGAAGACATTTCTATGCAGTTAAGTTGGCCGACATTACTTCCAAATAAAACTAATTTTCTTTAATTTGAAAAGTTCAGTTTGTTGCTGGATCTTGGAGCAAACATGCATAGAGAAAGCAGTCAATATCTTCAGAATCCTGGGCTATTCCTTAGTCTATTTACATTCTATAAGTGTTCACAAGTTTTTGAATGTCACAAACCAACCCATACATAGAAGCCAATTACCCTAGAAATAAATGGGCCTTATCTAGAGTCTATTGTACAGCTATCATTTCACTCTCAAGTTTCAATTTTTGCGACGATATTGTGAAAAATTGGAATGCTTATCAGAAAGGCATCAAAATGGCTTGGGATGGAGAAGAAAAATCTTGCTCTGTGCTTGAGGTATATTTCAACCATAAACACATTCACTTAAAAATAATTTCCACTGAAGTCGTAGTCAATGCAGCTTCTCAAATAGGCCACCACTGACAGCATCTTTGACTTGAAGCCCTTGGGGGGGGGAAGGGCAGGAGCTCGACCTTCTCCCAAGGATTTTCCTCCTCCCTTCCTAGCCAGGCCCCTTTTTATTTAATGACTTCAGCTTGACTAACCCCAAATACTGCCCTGATTTAAGGAAACAGAGGGATGGGTCTCAACAGATCCAGCCACACGATTGAGCAACTAGCTTTTCACAAAGAATTCACACAAGAAACCTTCCTCTCTCCCCTCCCCCCCCCCTTGTCCAGCACTAGGAGCCTTTTTTCTCCAGATTGCAAAGTGTTCACAAATAACAATTGTATACTGTGAGATTTGAAAGTTGCAAAAAGGGAAAAAGAGAAAAGGCAGAACTGCATCCTTATTCTCTTGCAGGTATTTATCTTCTCTCTAAAGCAACATTTTCTATCACAGTTCAGGACACTTCCCACTTCAAGTATGAGCCAGCAAGACTGCAACCCATTTTTCATATAATAAATGCAAGTAATTCAATATTTCTAGCATGGTATTTAGACGACATGGAATTATTACCTTCATCCCATATTTTTTCCATGCATATTGGAAATACACTCTGAATGTCTGCCTTTCAGATCAGACTTCTACATGTTACCAAGGAAGTTCCTTCTTTCAAGAAATGAAGAACAAAACTGCTTTAACTCATGAGACTTACAAAACTATAATTGCTCAGAAAGAAATCTGAGTGGCTGCATTCACTAACTTGCCAGGCATACAGAGCAAAGTCCCAGCAGTCTCCTTGGTACAAGACCATGCTAAGCTTGGTGGCAGTTAACCCAGTTTAGATATTCAGGAGGGAGAGGCAGGCCCGATCATTGGGTGAGTTTATTGTTGAGTATATTGTGAGAATCCAGATATCAGTTCAGTCAATGCCAGATACGTGTGTTATATAAATATTGCTATGTTTGATTGTGTGGGAAGAGGCTTGTCCTCGGAAATAGACCTTAAAATTGCAGAAACCTTTACTTCCTAGGATGGAGAATCTTGAATATGAATATAATAGCAGCACATCTACTGTTTACATCTAGAAAAATTAAGAAGTTAGCTTCCACTGATTGTGCTGACACATATTTACAGAGAAATAGGCAAAATTAATAAACTGCATTGTTTTTATGCCCAAAACTTGTTCAACAGTGGTAAAGTAACATTTCATCAATTGATTGATTTGAGTTCTATAGCAGCCCATCTCGACAACTGAGTCAATTTATTGACTGCTCCCAATAAATAACTTTCATTGCATTTAATGGAATATCCTTGCTGGTTCTAGACTCAGAAAGTAACCTGAATAAGAGAAAAGATCAATGAACTTTGAATTTTACTTTAAATAATGGCCACAATCTCACCCATGTCCTCTGCTAATTAAGCCATGCTGATTAAAACAGTACTCCTTAAAATCATGGGACAGCAGTTCAAATGTTATTATTGTTAAGATGCTTTTTTCCTTTCCCACTCAACTTCTGGGGCTTCCATCCATTCTAAGAAAATCTGTGCTCAATATCTATATTAGGAGAATCTTTATCTGCTTATTTATGCCACCAAAAGATACATTGGCTTTGAATGCACAAAACCAGGAAGGATATTTTCACCACAATGTGCCAGTAAGGCTTTCCTTTCCAAAGTGTGTTTCGTTTAGTTTCTAGTTTTAGAATTTCCTAAAGAAATCAAGGGGCAAGATAAAATTTAATTAGGACTAAAATCTGTCTTAACATTAACTGAGATGAAGATTTAGGCACTGTCAGTTTCTGCAAATTTCTCTCCCTAGGTCTGGCGAGCTGGATTGCACAATTGAGGAAGTGAACCCTGGTCCAGGACATAATCATTTTTAAAGTGCCACTAAATTCTTGATTAGCACAGGGTGGAGGAGGGAATAGTGTTACTGCATGTAAGTCATCTTAATTCTGATCCTTAAGACTGACATCTACCATTGACACAGGAGAAATCAGAGAGGCAGACAAATGCAATCATGCTTTTCAAATGCTCCACTTTTCACCACCTCTGAATAGCTTTTCAAGTTGAGTCAATACCCCTCCCAAAAACCTCACCTCCAAGAGGCATTTTTGCAATCCACATCCTATAGGTTCCCCCAGAAAGTCACGGACTTTCCTAGGTCTGGTCCCGAAATGAAGTCTTTCCCTTTCACTCAGCTCTAATAGCCTCCCCTCCCGTTCCAACGCAAAAGAAAAGGAAAAAAAAACCCACCAGATGCGCCCACCTGCAACAGCTGCCACCACCACTCAGGTAATCCAGCGACCTCTCTCACGACACAGCACAACTTCCCTTCCCTCCCGCCCAGGAAGTCCAGCTCCGGCCCTCGTCGGTCTGGCTCCGCTTTTCTGCAAGACAGTCGCCCTCCCCCTCCCACGCCACCGAGTCCGGGGGAGGCGACCGCCTTTACCTCTTTCGCTGAGGATGCCGTCGATGCTATGTTTGGCCTTTTTCTCGCTCTCTTCCGCTTCCTTCCGCTCCAGCTCCCCTTCTTCTTCTTCTTCTTCCCCTTTCCCAAATTTGCTTCTCAAAATGCGGCTGATGGAACTCACTTGAGAAAGAAAGAGGAAAGAGAGGCGTGAAGCGGGGAACCGGGGGAAGCCGAGACTGGGCTCTGAGTCGCCCCTGGGCACACGGTAGAGAACTGGGAAGACGCTTGGAAATAACGGCTGACGAAACGGGCTAGTGCTGAGTCTTCTGATTGCAGTTTCCCGATCTTTTATAATTGGTTCTCCCCCCCCCCGCCTTCCCCCCCCCCATTTCCGAGAACTCGAAGGGTTTTGCGCACACGCTGGTTTAGTTTGCCAAAGATCCTCCTCGGCTAGTTATTGGATCAAAGCACCCTCTGACTCGCCACAGAGCCTTGAACCCTTAAAACAACCGAGGGAGTCGAACGGGCTCGGCTCTAAGCCCCCTTGACGTGTTGTGGCCAATGCAGCCGCGGTGCTTTTAAGCCACTTGGTTACACCGGTCGTATGAATGAACGAACGAACGAACGCGGGCCCGAGAGGCGAAGTTTTACCTTGATGTGTTTTACGATTACAACCCATGGGGCTAATTTATGGTTTTAACCTGTAGAGTCAGTCAAGGAAAAAAAATGTGTTTATTGAAAAACCATGGTTAAGTTCCGTAGAAGTAAGCGAGCGACGGGAACGCAGCAATGGCAAGGAGGAAAAAAAAATATCTACGCATTGAAGAACTAGGTGGATTCCCCAGCCCAGGGGAAAAAAGAAAAGCACGTCAGCCCCGAACAGCACTAGAACAACAGGTGCCAAAAGTATGGTTTTGTTTAAAAAGGAGGGCGGGTCTGTCACCCAAGTTAGTAAAAAGCGAAGGTTGGCATGTTTGTTCCTAAAGATACTGAAATGGGCAGTGCAGTTTTGCAGACCTTGAGGAAGTTTGTTCTTAAATTAGCGGAGCAGCAGCTCGAGGGAAACGCGATTCCTTCGAAGCCATGGCAGACGGCTGCAGCTCTTCTTCCAGCCTGCAGAACCGGAGCGACACTCAAGCCTGTGTGATCTTACCTGCATTTTGCCCAGCCATACCTAACCTCTTTTGGAGCTTTCAGTTGAGTGAGTTCTGCAACTGCCTCGACTAGTAGTCTCTGCAGTTGTTTTAGCAAGTTTTTGGAAGTGGTTCGCCATTGCCTGCTTGGAAAGGTTGAGAAGGAGTGGCTGGCCCAAAGTCATCCATCTGGCTTCGTGGCTAAAGCGGGACTAGAACTCAGGGTCTCCAGATTTCTAGCGTGGAGTCTTAATCACTGCCCCAAATTGGCTTCAGACAAGTCCTACTCATCGCTCTTAGAAAAATTGTCCTACCTATATTTTAAGACTATTCCTTGTAATACGGTACATGATTTGGTCCCTTGTAAGAATCAAAGCCTTTGATAGTGCGCAGAAAAAGAAAACCGCATTGAAAAGATTTGCCCTAAACTTCAAAAAACTTAAAGCATAATTATTTCCACAAGACAGTATTCCTTTTCAGAGGGGAATACCTCTAAATAGCCTTTATACTCTCCTACAAAGAGATGAAAATGTACACGGTGTAACCGTTTTTTTTCCTGATATATTGTACCAGTAAGTCTTAGTTTCTTTTCTAGGATTGAGAGGCCGCCACCAAACAGTCCCTCCCGTTTTGTTTCCCTTAACTGGTAATTAGTGTATGTTGGAAATTCTGGATCCAAACTGACGGAGACCCCAACAGCGCTCCAGAGATCACGATTCAGAAGGGACCTTGGATAGCGTAAGGTAAGACGTTTGTGTTCGCTGTAGAGCCATACGTGAAAGCAAAAACATACGTGCGAGTAGCTACGCACGTACTAACTGCGGGTCTGCCTCACAATCCTGCCCCGGCCTTCCAGGAAAGGAAGAGAGCAACGAAAGCTTCACATTATCGGATGTTAAGTCAAAACAAGCCCACGTGGTGGTTAACTGGATCACACGAATGTGTGACTTGGTTAGAGAAGTTCTGCCAAGAAGCGAAGTTCCGGGGTCCTCCGGTGTTCTACCCGAACCCAGACTGGTCAGGACCGCACCACCCTTTCGCCCTTCCCTTTCATCTGCTACTTCTAAAATAAAGCCTGGCCTTCCGCATTCGCTCCCCGATGGCAGGGGAGAGGGATGGGGAGGGGGCCCATGCAGCACTGTCAGTAATTTAGCTTCCCCACCCCCGAACCGCATCCCCTGGCCTTGAATGGATTTGGGCAAGTGCGACCCCCCCCCCGCAAGGCCATCCGACCCCAGGGCGCTCCCTTCTGACCTGCGGAAACCGGCCAGGGCATCTCCAGTTTAGGCTGGGTCTGGTGCGCCCTGGGGGGGGGTGGAAACTGCGGTCCCACTTAGACGTCGGGCGCTTCCTTTGCCAAGCGACTTATCTCCAAACAGGGTCCCTCCCAAGCACACCCCTTTAGTACAAGGTCAAGACTAAAGCAAGCAGCAAGGTTCCATTCATAGCCAGACTTTTCGGACCGAGAAAGAACGCGTCAAGGATTCCGTTGGTGCCGGGAAAGGACGGGTAGGGCGCAGAATTCCGTCTGAAATGGCTTTCCCGGACGACTTACCTGAAGGTACGGTGTTTCGGTCGCACACGCCGTCCTTCAGCAACTTGTCCCGGATCTCCCAGCTAAACATGCCTGCGTTCTCCCGCTTGTACTCCTCGATCTTCTTCTCAACATCCGGCGTCGTCACCTGCTTTAATAAAAAAACAATCCAGAAAGGAAACAAGGTTTGTAACTCTTGGGGGACTGGGAGGAGAGCACAGTGGAAGAAGGGGAAAGGGAGGGAAGGGGCGAAAGGAAAGAGACAAGGGAGAAAGGGATATATAGCAGAAAGGCGAGGCTCGGCGGTGCAGAGCACAACAGCGCAACGTCTAGGACCTATCGGGACAAGACTTGGTGCCATCAGTTTTGAAAGGGGAGCTTGGGACGCCTGCCTGACCTAAAGCAGCGAAGTCAAGAATATGATATGATTCATGGAAGACCGTATAAAATTAGCAAGACCTCCGTAAGGATGAAAACAACACTCGTTAATGCGGGGACGGACAAGTTAAGAATCGAGAGCTACACTTAAGAAAGAAGAAATATGTGCTTTATTGTCACAAAAGGAGTCAAAGGAAAATAAACTGGCCCTCAATCCCATCCACAAAATATCCACTAAAATTACAGAGCCAAAGATGGGGTAGAAAAGAATCAATACGAGGGAAAATCCCATGTAATTAATGGCAGACAAAATGTTATAAAAAAAGTTTCAAAAGTGAAATAAAGTTTCACTGCACAAAAGTAATCACAGTTTTTTCCCAAAAAAGGGAAAGCAGAGGCTGCGTTTCCCTGTGTTCACGTGACTCATGCAAAATATTATTTAACATAAATGACAGAACCTCTCTGTTGAAGATAAAATCAACAAAATAAGCTTCAGCTTTCACAGGACCACAGATGTGATACCTTACATTAGCACGTAAGATTTCAAATCGCCCTTCTCTTTAATCAGTATAATATAGCCTTATTAAAAGATGAAAATATTTTTAAAGAAAAAAAAATCTGCTGTAGTGTAAGCCTACTTCATAATTTGGCTGGTCGTTTTGGTAACATTCTAAATGTATAAATATATAAATGATACAAAATATATGCAACTACATGTCATAAACATTTCACTCCAAAGCAAATGACTATAAAGTAAACCACTTATTTCAATCGGTATGTATGTCCCCCAAATCTGTTTAGAATTGAGATGGAATTGCAGCAGCTTAGTGAAAACTGGATTACCCCCCAAAAAAAGAAAAGCTGAAAGTATAGTTTCACTTTTGGCTCAACCCATACTTATTAGTCGCATTTGCTTGTACACTCACTGTACTGCACTGTATACACTGGGGCTAGTATTAAGTAATGATCTTAAGGTTGCATTCTTTGCTGGATGTCTGGGCGGTGGTTTTGGTTGAGGTCACTACAGCAGAAGCAGACCTCATTGCCTTGAGAAATGTGAGAGCATCCACAAGTACCCTGAAAGGAAAGGGAAATCTTGGGCTTCTCTGGAATCTGATTTCCATGCTGTTTCTCAGAAACATTCCAGCAGGGTTAGTGACCAACTGATTGTGGGAAACATGCCAGGCTCACCTAATTTAGGACTGGGTGATCTACACAAATTCTCTGAACAACTCTACAAGGAATAGAAGTTAAAAGAAAGGGTCATTTTGCACAGCGACAAGTAAGGCAAGGAGCTTTAAGGCTAGGAAAAAGATATGCTCCACCCTCACGTAAAAGTCCAGCTAGTGGGGAGGAGACTGTGAATGCTCGATCCCCTTCAAGGGTGGGGGAGAAAGTCTAAAAGCAATCAGCAGAGGTAAAGGCAGCCTTGTTGATTTCAGAAGATGCATGCAAGCTCTCCACCTGGTGTGGAAGTGGTTGGAGGTCAAGTTGCGTTGTCAAGTAACTCTGCTCTGCAGATCTGTTTGGCTTCAGCCTCTTTCCACAATTATCTGAGGATAATTGTGGAAATATGGACTAAGTTTTCACAATACACTTACCTACAGTTTACATACCAATCTAATCCAGTTTTCAGTGACACAGAACACTGAACAAGCTACGATAGCTGGGCTCACCTGAAATGTCAGACTAATATGAAAACCCAATCTGGGTTTCAATATAGAGTTCTCCTCATGAAAATTATCCTGGATGAACAAAAAGAACTGCCACCAAGTTATCCAAATTGTTACTCCCACTCTATGCTCAATAATGCTCTGCTAACCAAAAGGTTTGTCCTCATAGATTGGATATCATGTTAGGGACTGACAAAAGGCACGTCTGGTATATTTTGCCAGAAAGTGACTACATTTCCTTTTTTTTTTTTTTTTAGAAAAAAATCAGTTTGTTTTATCATAGAGAATAAAATACAGAACATTAAAACAAACAAACAAACAAAATGTACTCCATGAGTTCATTTCCAACCTGGTCAAGGGACCCTACTGACCACCCTCTACAACTTATAACCTAATTGGATCTCATAGCAAAACAACTGAGGAGTGTTTTTTTTTTCCCCATATCTTCTTGCCCATTGGGAAAAAAACTATTTTTAGGATGAATTCATACAACTCAGTTAATAAGTAAGACCGGCATTATCTTGAGGAGAGGGGGTCTGTGGGATTTCAAACTGCTCATATAAACCCCCCAGAGGGTCTGAGACAACTCGCAATAAAGACAGCTAGAAGAAGACAAGCTGAAATGAAGGTGGTAGACTTTCTCCAAAAATGCCAGACTAACTGTATACTCTGCAAGAAACAGGTCCTTCAAGCTAACTGAGCCAAGCTCACCTGTTCTCAAGTAAGGTAAACTGCCATTTTAGGGGATCTCTCCCCATCACCTGACTGTCTTCTGAGATACTCACCTTGGGTTTGCTGCCCCCAATGGCCCCTGGCCTTATGGAGCCGGTCTCCTGGTACCTGCACAGAATCTTGGAGACACAGCCATGCGACACTCGGAGCTGGCGGGAGATGACGCATGGCCGGATGCCATGATGGGCCATCTCCACGATCTTGTGGCGAATATGGTTGGGTAGGGGCCTGCCATTGATAAAAACACCTCCAAGCTGATTGACTCGGCCTTGGCCCAGAGGAGTGGACACTGGATGGAGGGAATATAAAAAAAAGTACTCAGATTGGGAATGAGCCAAGTACATCTAGATGTCCTTCCTGCCAAATCCCAGAGAAACAGGACAATGCACAGGACAGGCATATACAAGCATAAGAGACTAGCAGTAGACCTTGACTTCACCATATGTTGGGAAGCTAATATTATCCTGAAACTCAAATCCAAAATACTTTTCCTGGAACATGACAGTCACATATTCATAATTAGCTAAACCAGATGATTTACTTCAACTGAGGCTACTGAATAAGCCAATTCGAATCCTTAGTAGAAAGCAGGCAACCCATTTAGTTAAAGAACCTCCCTTACAAATGAGAGCCTTTAAAGTTCATATTGAATAAATCCTTTCATCTTCTAGACAGATCAAGTAAAAATTTTAGGCTGTTATATTCAATATGAATTTGAAATCCAGTAGTCCTGCACTGTACCATAAAAGCAACCTACTGAAAGAATTCTCTCCCCATCTCTGAAAACAAATGAGCAAACAAAACAAGACAGGAGAGAATTTATAAATTAAAACAGTGGGAAATTGCTGACAGCACACTAAGCTACTTTTATGATAAGCAGCAATTTGTAGTTGTCTGCAATTAAATCTCTGAGTGTACTACTTTGGGCCATGCCTTTCTTCTATAACTAAAATAAAACCTAAAATTGTGTGGGTATTTGTGAATTGTGGGGTTTTCATAGGTATGTCGGGTACAATACTTTTCAATGTATAAATGGTTCTATTCAGAGAAAAAGACCTGTTGAAATAAATGGCTTGAAGTCAATACTAACTTTGGTCTATGGATTTTACTTGGTTTGCTCTAATCATAGCTGAATCTCATTTAAATCCGCTATTATTTTTAAGGAACATTAGGATTTTAATCTAGGTTCTACTTCGGATTTTAAAATGTAGTTAGCATTGTTCAGAAAAGGATATTGTTCTAGTTGCTGGACAGATCTGTAATAACAATACAGCTATTAATACTGCATTCCTCTGAAACAGTGCAGTTGAAGACTGACTTGGAAAAAACAGATTTTAAAAGGTATTTTGCAGACCATCTCTGCATCTGTTCCTTTGCTTATATACACATTCATTTTCTATCAAAGCAATTTGCATAGTGTTGCTCACTGTTTGCTTTGCCACCTTGTGCACCAGCTGGCTAATGATTTGCCACTATTCTGACTCTCCTGCGAGTTAATGACTTCAAATGTACACACTACCCAAAGAAGACGTTTCACCTGTATTAATAAACAGGGCAAAACTATACAACTCAAACGAGTGAAAAGAAATGGAAAGGAAACGCAAAGGATGCCTCTGCAAATTGGAAATGTACAAAACTGCATTTGAGTTTGGGCAGATCCCTTTAATATTCTAGATGGGGGAGGATTTCTCGAGGTTGCAGAAAGAAAGACATTGGACAGAAGATTTTAAAATCTTGACAAAAGAGGGAAGTCGGGAAATTATAAGCTGAGCTGAAATAGTATATTTTCAAAGGAAATTGTTCGGTAAGAAACTTAATCATCGCTGCTATACAGGACTAGAAATAATTAAATAGGTCTGCTAAGTCTTGTTAGAAGCAAGACTTTATTATCAAACTAGATAGGAGTAAAGAGAAGGCCTGGCGCTACAAACTCTTTTCTACCTAAAGAAATTTGTTTTTAATCACTAGCTGAGTTAGAAATGTAAGAACGCGGTTTCAAAATGGCTACGAATTTTCTTGGCTCCTTCACCTGCGAGGTAGGGAGGTGGCAACTTTAACCCATTATTTTCAATGGCATTTAAAGTGGGGGAAAAAGGAGGGAAATTGACCGTTGGAGTGCAGCTAATTTCTACCTTCTCCGGAGGCTTTCTTTTTCTTTTCCCTTTTCTACAAAAAAATATAAATCAAGTAAACTAAGATTTGCAGGGGAAAAGTTGGGAAAGGGAGCAAGATTTGGAGCATGGGTTGTTGTTGTTGTTGTTACAATGCTGCTATGTATCCCTATACCCCTATCCCTGGTTCGCTTCCTTGGAAGCGTGCCACCTGAACTGGAATGGCCTTGATTTTTTTCCATTGGCAAGGGCGCTCATTCCGAGAGCTTCCCTCTTTGCCCTCCTTGTTCGATCCATGTGCGGAGAAGTGGCTTCTTCAACTCCGCCAACAAATTAGTTCCAGAAACGCACGGAGACACTCCAGCTCCACAACCAGACCCATTTCATCGGCCTCCCTTACCCAGACGAAGGCTACGGGGATTGAAACACCCCCCTCCCTTTATTTTGAGCTCCCTTTTTCCAACTCTCCTGCTGCTCCACAGTTCTTACCTTCTAACGGGAAACCGCTGCGAGGATAATTCTGTCCCGGAGCTGGTCGCATCATCCTGGGGACAGCTCCACCCAGAGTTGTCATATTAGTGGCACCTTGGCTTTCTTAAACGCGTTATATCCAAAAGAATTGCGAAGGGGGTCGAGGGGGGGGGGAGAGGCAGGTCAGTATGGATAGCAAGTCCGCATAGAAGAAGGTGAGGGGGAGGGTGAATGTAACACCTAGAGAGATCGGGATTTAAAACGTGAGGGGGGGAGGAAAGGGAGGGGGTCCAACTTGAGGAAGGAGGAGGGGAAGGGAATCTCTGTTCTCCTTTCTGTCAGAGATCCCTCAGAGCGCAAAATGTGGCAGAGAAAGAGAGAAGAGCGGGAGGGGGAAAGTTTTGCCCGAACAAGAGCGATTCGCAACGGCTTCGGCGGCTGGAGAAAACTGCGAACTGACGGCCCTTCCCAACCTAGGAGAAGCTCGCATTGATCTCGCCCGGCTTGAGTGGCAGGCGGCGGGGGATGATTTCTCCTTGTTCTTGATTTGCAGTGAAAGGAAACTCAGCTCTGGAGTATTTATTAGTTCTTTCACCCCAGGCTTCCTTAGGATCTCTGCGTCGCGATTGGCCAGCCGGAAGACTGTCCCGTCTGGAGAAGCCTGGAGCTGATTGGACGAAAGCGCCAACTTTCTCTTCTCATCCTGACAATTGAAGGGCTCCGACTTTGGAGTGTGACCCGCGACTTGCCTCCCTTTCCTTGATAAAGTGTCTTTCTCCCCCCCCCCCTTTTTTTCTTCTTTGCAGAAAACAGGCTGGGCCGGGGGAGGGAGGGAGGGAGGGAGGAGGAGAATGCAAGAGGGCGAAGGGAAAACCTGTCTGTTTTTTTTATTATTATTATTTTCCGTCGATCCGTCGATCGGTGGGTCTTTTTTTTACAACTTCTCTTGGCACGATGCCACCGGGGAGAAGATGACCATAGAAAAATAGCCAGCCTCCGGATTGCTTGGATTCAGAAACTTTCTCTGCCCCCCCCCCACCACCACAACCTTTTCGGTTATAAAAAGTGCAGCTGTACGTGTTAGCCTGGAGAAATTAAAAGAGAAACTTCGCCGTTTCTCCTGAGAGGTTCCTTTGTCTCCCACACTCCAGACTAGATTCCCCTGGGCGTGTGTCTGACACCCACCAAAATTCCCTCCGACCCCTCTCCGCCCAACCCCACCCTGACGCCCTTCCCCGTTTCTTTGGAAACTTTTTCGAAGCTGCAGTTGCACTGGGGGAAATTAATCAGGTATTTTTTTTTAAAAAAAAAAATCTGGACGAGGAGGGGAAAGCACAAACCGATGGTGAAAACTGCCCTCTCCGTCTCTCCCCAAGATAGGCTCCTGCTTTCAAGACTAAACAGAGCGAGGCATCCCTTTTAATTCATTTATCTAATTCTGTGTGGGGTGGGGTTGGAGAGATACAAACCCATAGACGCGATATATGTATTTATTAAGCTGAACTTCGCTAAGAAGCGCTTCTTCCCGGGAATTTATATAGCATTGAAACTAAACTGCTGGGGGAGAGGGACAGAGAGAGAGGAAAAAGATTTTTTTAAAAGAGAGAGAGAGAGAGAGAGAGAGAGAGAAGAAAAGAAAAGAAAAGACTGACTATGAGCTGAAGTGACCACAGCAGGATATGACGCCAGGAGTGTTGTAAAGACTGTCTGTCTTTAAAGAAGGTACCATTGTGCATGTCCTTTTATTTATAACTTGGTAAGTGCCAGCAAACTCGCCTCCTTTACACTCTGAAGTGCCAGCCCGGCTTTCCACAGCGCTCCTTTTTTTGGCAATAGTCTATTCAGTAACTGTCACTCTCAAGCTTCAAGTTATTCAAGACCTTAATCAATCAAAGGGATGAGAATCATTCAGGTTTTTTTTCTCTCTTCTTTGAAATAAAGGAAACAATGAGATTGAAGCTGACGCTCTCTCTTCCCTCTCCCCTTCCCCAACAACTTATGATTCATTTTGAAATTATTGATTTAAAAACAAAACAGAAGGGCTGTTCATTTGCTATCTTGGAATGAAAAATCAGCGCTGAGACTAAAATAAAGTGAAAACAAATTTAGATCTGAGAAACGAGGTACCCTTTCCGGCCAATGTGACACTGATAACTAAACAGAATTCCATGAGCAAATGAATTTAGAGTATGGAAAAGGTTTTTTTTAAAAAAAAAAAAAAAAAAAGCATTCGGGGCAATGCAGTGGTAGCCATAAGTGTGTTTATGTTTATGTGGCTATGTGTATGAAAACGCATCTTAGTATATTATTTGGATGGATAATATAAAAATCGAGATTCTTGGATGTCAGAATGCAGCTCATCACTGAAAAGAAGTGAATATGCTAACAGGAGTTTGTGATCACCACTTTTAACATGTGCTCACTTGGATAAGGCGGCATAAGGAATTTGTTTTACCTTCTAAAGCATTCAGAATGCCTGGAAGGGCAGCTGAAATGGCGTTTGGAAGTACGGAGAGGAAAATGGCTTTAAAGATAACAGATGCTTTACCTAAGTTGAAGAAGGGAAAGAAACATAACTTGTAGTTATATTGTTTTCATCCACGAAAGATTAATTTCAATGAAATTATGCCCTTACTCCCAAATAGTCAGATTAGAATTGAAGGATCAATCATAAATGTTCCCAGAAAATCAGCTGCATCTGGAAAACAGGCCAGAATCCAACAATAATTGTTTTTTCAAAGCATTCTGAATTTCTCAGACTATTGTGTAAAATTAATTGAAGGAGTTAAAGCTTTTCATCATTTTAAAAGCCTAATTATACAAATTGAGCCTTTGTAAATTCCACCATCCTTTCTCAAATCTTCCCAAACTTTTATTTAGATATTAGATTTCCCATTGCATGTGGGGGGGGGGTTAATAGTTGAACAATGTAAGAAATATATTACTGTACTGCATGTGTTCAGGGGTTTACATAATATCTTGAAGCCTGGACATCAAATTATGGATGCATTTAAACAGATAACCTGAATTAAAACCTCATTCTTTGAAAGCTGGTTTTATTAAATCCAGTGAACTGAAGAGCCACACATTTTTCTGTGTCTGCTTTCCAGTAAATCCAACAAGATACAGTAGGAAACTCTAATTAACTTCATTGCAGGAGGAAATTTCCCTGTAATATCTTTGCCTTATATTGATTAGCTTGTACATTTTACCATGTTAACTTTAGAAGACTGATTACCTATATAAAGTTAAAACTCCCACACCCATAAGCCTACTATTAATTCTATGAAGATCTTGCCCATGATGGATTGAAAGGAAATAAACAAAGCAATAGTTATTTACAGTTCTGACCCCATCAGATTGGGGGCAACAAGACAAGTTCAAACATTTGGGGGGGGATCAATTCTATGCATATTTCTTAAAAATAAACCTTGCGGGAGTAAATGAAGTTTGTTTCCAAACTTAATTTTAAGGCATATGTCCAATATCAGTCCCAAATTCTTGTAAAGTATCAGAAGTCCAACCCAAACTTTGGATTCCTCAGAGCTCCATATCAGTTAGCCATCTTTTTCTCTCCATTCTCAACAGTGTTCTTGAAAATAGCACAGAAACACGCACACACCCTGATTTCCCCGGTGTTTTGATGAACTGTAGTTCGGAGAGGCTGAAAAGTATTATTTCACTGTCTCCCACTGCTTTGGAGAGTGAATGGTTATAATTTGCTATTAGTTCCACTCCAGTAACATCTCACTGCCTCGATGGCTGCTCTAAGCAAGGAGGCTTAAGTTCCTCACTTTATCTGTATAGATGTTGTGTGTGTGTGTGTGTGTGTGTGTGCCTGTGCAACACAAACTCATAAGACCTAGTGTGGAACCTTAACTCATTTAAAATTCTGCTTGTGTAGCTGAATAAAATCAACATCTAGACTGCTTTTGCTGCCCTGAGCGGGTGAACTTTAGGATACAATTCTTCACCACTGCTCCCCCTCTCCCCCCTCCCATTGCACTCATCCTGAAAGGATTGTCAGCTGTTACAGTCTCTGTGCTGCTTTCCATTTATTCCAACGGATTTCTCTGGAAGAGAAATTCCGATTGAAGGGTTACTTCGATCGTTTAATTAAGCCCCAGAAGAGTCCATTCGCTCTTGTAGTGCGGAGGAAAGTCTCACAAGTCAAGATAGGCGCTAAGTACTTTCTAAAATATTCCTTTAAAAAATTCAGAGTCCCGAACTGTAGAACTGGTTGCTCCTGCCACGATCCTAAATATGTTCCCCAGTAATATCAGTAATACGACCAACCAAAATTAACTCCGCTTAGGATAGGACTTCCACCTCTGAAAAGCTGCAAGGAACGCTGAAGAATCGGACCAAAAGCTAACCTTGACCAGCGTTCTATTCTTACAGTAGCCAACCGAGAAATACCTAATTAAGGACAAGCGTGCCATCTAAAAACATGGCTTGTTGAATGCTTTATGAATAAACTACGATTTATTCCACCAAGACATACACCATGGTTTGCAAACCACATCTGGTTTGATGCACAGGAGAAACTACACAAGCGACGTAAAGGCCTAAGAGCGATGGGTCAATCCGGGCCTGGAGCAACCTGGAGATTAATCTAGATTCCTGTTGGAGAGACGTTTTATCCGCAGGGAGCCTCGCTTGGCTTGAGTGGGAGGTTCTGATAAGAGGACGAGAATGTCTGCCAACTGCGATGAGTGTAACGTGGTTAATATTTAGGTAAGCGTTACAGGAAGGCAGCCCTTGAAAGAAACCACTGAGAATGGATTTCGTTGGATCGTAGGCTCTATGGCTTCTGGATCGAAACTCAGGTCACTAGCGGGGGTACTCTACGGGCAAAATTTAAAACCGCTGAATGATTGATAATCTTCAAGAGCGATTGAAGCAAGCAAGACTTGCACAAGAAGAATTGCTAGGGGCTTACTTCAGGATTTTGGCATTTAGGATTGGGGCTGAGAAGCCCGACCTAGGAAGCGCAGGAACCCTTGCGCTCTACCCGAAGCCGGTTCTCCCGCCATTGCCCCAGAGTGGGCTCTCAGTCGCAGCTTTAGGATCGCAAACGCTGGTCTCCGCACAATGCCTTGGGTCCTAATCATTTTGAGG